CAATTTCATCTCAGGACTATAAAGTCTACACTCCCTGCTCCGTCTGTTTAATGTCTCTCAAAAACGTCGAAATCCAGACTCGAGCGATGGAATGAAAACGAACTGTGATTCACAAACTTTTGTGTTTGTTTGGTGCACCGTGATTCTTTGTCTGCATGTTTTTTTATCGGGGCACAACCTTGTACCCGTCTCGTGTAAGGATCCCCGAGTATAGCTGGTGCTATGGATGGTCCTATCTACGAACGTAGGTGCAAGACAAAGAGTGTTTTTGGCAAACTAACTCCCGTGTGCACCCCGCACCATCACCTCAAGCAGTTCCAAACATGCCCGTATTAGCATTGGATTGGTTTGTGAGTAACCAAGCATGACAGGTGTGTGTGTGTGTGTGCGTGTATGTACGTACGTCTATATTAGACACTTCTCGTTCCACTTTGCAGATTCTCTTTGTTCCAATCCGCTCACGTGATTACATTCACCGATGTTCGCTTTTTCACTTTGTTGTGTCATTGATTTTCTAAATTGTTATCCAGAATTGTTGCAACTACATTGGTTTTCTATGGTGTTGTAGCGATCTGAATGTTGGAGACGGTGTGTGTGTGTGTGCACAACTCGTCTGTGCCAGAACGAGAATCGGTTGCCAAACAGGGGAGCTTCTATATCTTTGTAATGCACTACTCACAAGGTTGCTGAAAACTCCTCGACAGCCCACAACCGGTTTCGCCGTTCCACTTTGGGCTGATCAGGTAGGCGCAGTCCCCGAGTTTCCGTCAACCTTATGTTCTACTCGAATCGTGCCAATTGAAACATGAGGCGGCCTGTGTGAAGCACATTCAGTTGTAGAATATCATAAACGAGAGATTCAGTTGAGTCTCTCGTGAAAACCAGATTGATTTACAAATTAGTGTATTTCTCGCGAAATAAATTGAACCGTCTGACTACCTCTGACCACCTCTGCAGCTGAATCCTACAGAAGCGACAGTACGGATAGACAAACTGGTTGGTTTCTGTCTGCCATACCGTACAAGAAAGTGTACGAATGTACCTTATAAAATCCTGTTTGAAAGCCTGGATTAGAATTTATTCACAGTGGGGACAAGTAATTGGCTTATCGTAACCGTTATTCGAATGCAATGAGTTTCCCTTCGCGACTCGGTCAAAGGGGGGAGGGTCACAGATGGGTTTGCCAACCATTCTCATGGTCGTTTTTCCCATGAAAGATTTTACGCGAGGTTTTTCGTCATCGTCATCATTATCATCATTGTCAGCTGTACTAACCGCGTCCTTGTCGTACAGTGGTTGTAGCTGCCACACTTTAGTTTACCGATGATTCGAGGAAGTGGGGTAGGTGGCTGCGCATTGGAGGCGGGAGCTGATAAATTGGTGCATAAATCCAATACTGTCAGTGGGCTGTCAAGTGGGGGGATTGGGAAGGGAGCTATGCATTGAAGGCAATAGCTTGAATGAACGAGTGCCATTGAGGGCGCGACTGGGCCATATCTGACAATGTCTCTAGCCATTGATGTGGACCGTCTTGGGGTCCCCATCCAGGAGGACGGCAATGATCAGTGCAGCTTAGTTTGCTAGTAATGGATTTCACACTTCGCTGTGACTGTTTTTGACCGCCTCTGGCTCTCTTCCATCCTTCGCGTGGTTGTGCGAAAAGAGCCCGTCGGGGAAGTCAGTCAACTGGGATACGCAGCACGTGGCCAAGCCAACGCAACCTGTGCAGTGTGATCAGTTTAACCACCGAGGGTGAGCTATTGCTCCCGAATACTTCAGCATTGCTGATTCGGATTCGGGCAATGCTCCGAAGACATCGATGGTCAAACACTGAAAGCCTTTTGACGTCCTCAGCGCGCAGCGGCCAGGTTTCTGATCCGTATAGTAATTTAGTTTTTCAGTAAGAAGCTAAATTACGAAAACGTTTTCCGCAAGGGAGGCGTCTAGGTACGTAATTCCACTGTCGAGAGTCCACAGCAGCGATCATTTCAGAAAGGCCGAATGTTCACTTTCTCCTTGGTGGCCTTTCTTACTACAGTCATCCATTTCTAACCTATATACATTAGTTATCGTCTTGGACAGAACAAACCTTAATGTTCAGCATGCTAGTGCTTCTTATGATGGATTAGGAAATGGCTTGGGGTTCTGAACTGGATCAATCTTCGTTGAACGCTTACTGGTCCACCTCTTCTGGTAGCCGTCATTGGATCCTCATCCTCACTGGTCACGTAATCGTGCGTCTAATGGACGATTGGTAGACTGTCTGACGCGATATTCGCAATTCCCATGCTCTCGTCTGCTCAAGCGTTTCACGAACTGTCGCTGGTATTTACTCTATTTAATCGGTATTCTCCCGCCATCTCTGAGAATATCAGCTAACCAGTGTATCGCTTTTTACGTTCCCACCAACCAGGCAACCCGCGTCACCTTCCGAGAGGATCCTTTGGAACAAACTTCGTTCCCTGTTCTCCCAGTTGATGTTGAACGTCCCCGTCCATTTCGACCGACTGAGACCGCCTGCGGCCTGCATTTGTGTAACGCTGTGAAAGCCCTGCTGCTCATCGATCAAACCGCTCTGATGCACTTCCTACCCGCCATTTTGTCTCAGTTCATGGAGATCATCATGGTGAGCGCAAACACCTCTCATCGATGGAACAGCAGCACCTCAACGATCGCGAACGACGGAGATTCGGTCGAGTGGTTGAGCACATCGAAGCACAGCGCGAACAGTCCTACCCCGAATGACATTCTAAAAACCACAACAGGGTAACGCTCCGTTTGGTTGTGTAAACATCACCTGATACCTGTCATTGTTTTATGACCTCATTGAAGACGGGTTTGGTGCTTTTCTGGTCACCATCCGAACGTGTTGTGAGTTTTATTCATTAATCAGTTGCACCGGCACGTCCTCTCCCACACGCAGTTATCTTAATGGATGGAGTGTCTTAGAATGTGCCCTTCCTAATAAAGGCCACACATCAAACAAAAAAAACACAACTATACGAACAAGCGTACAATGGAAAAAAATCAGCTTTAGCACTCTTTTCGGTGCCTAACTGCAATGCCACCCAAAGGTTACACGAGAGCTGGCATACTGCCAGGTTGCTCAAGCTTAGACAGGGAAGTCGAGAGGCACAGGTCGGGTTCGAACCACGGACCTTCCGGTCAGTAAATTTGCGCTCTAACCATCTCGCCCCCAAGCGTACAATGGTGTCTATCATCAATCAAATCAGCGTCTCTCCGACGTCAGGCGTCCTTGTAACTGCGGCCACCTCTCCCTATTTGTGATCCACTGTAGGACTCACAGTCTGTTTTCAAAAATGTGATATTCCCTTTTTATAGATTTTCTGGGAATCTAAGCATGAAATATCACATGATTTCCGACAATTCTTCATCCGTGATGTTATGCGCACCCTCAGTTATCCGTTGGAAAAAATATGACTGTTTGAAAAAAGGCGTAAAATGCCAGTCAGAAACACGGAATAACAGAATCGGTTGCCTGGAGAATCCACCTGTTTCACCCTCCATGAGTCCCCTCCCCTAGTATCATGGACGAAACTTCTGAAAGTTACTACTCTGGCGAATCGTGTCGTTGGAGAGTCTACCTTAATAGTCATTCTACAGTTATTTCGTCACGAGTGTATTTCAGTACGGTTCTAGGTGATGTCAGGTTGCTTGTTGTCCTAACCTACATCCATGCTCCCCTCGCAAGGCATGTTTTGTCCTTGAATCTCTAACGAACTGTTTCTACTCATGTGGATCGCTTGTTTTATTCACAGGACTATGGCAATGCTACTATCGGAAGTGAACCGCTCGTGCTCACCCAAATCCGCAGCGACCGTCCTTGGTGGAGCGCAGACTAGAGATATTGGCCTAAGTACGAATTCTCCGAGTGGCTTTCGACA